GCAGCGGCAGCGGCAGTGGCAGTGGCAGTGGCAGTGGCAGTAGCAGTAGCAGTAGCAGTAGCAGTAGCAGAAGCAGTAGCAGTAGTAGTAGTAGTAGCAGCAGCAGCAGCAGTAGTGGGGCAGTAGCAGTAGTCGTCGTCGTCGTGGTGTTGGTGGTCGTGCTGGTGGTAGTAGTGTAATAGTGGTCGTCGCGGTGGAGGTGGTGGCAGGCAGTGGCAGCAGGACTAGTTTCAGTGGTCGTGGTAGTGGCAGTGGTAATATGTGGTAATGATGTTGGAAATGGCTTTCAAAATCGTCGTCGTCGTGCTGGAGATGAGAAGTAGATCGACTCTTCTTCGGGAGGGTCTGCCAGGCCGACGTTCATGGAATCGCCACGAGCATGGCAGCTTCCGACACCATTGCCACAAAAATGCGAAGCGCCTAATCCGAGCTAGCTCGGAAACAGGGTGATTGGAGCTGGCGGGTTTGCATGGGTTGGCTGAAGCTGAAGTTCCGGGCGGGCGAAAACCTTCCATAAGATTCAGGACTACACCCGGTCTCAAGACACTAAGCATTCTTGTCTGAGCGCGTTCCTGATGTCTGACATAATGTGGTCCCGAAGCCAAGCATAAATAGCTCGGATCCGGTGCCTGATAGCATATCCACGCTCGCCTCAGAACGGATTCAACAGGAATCGCCCTCCTCTAGAGGAGGCGCCTCGACCCCACCGAACAGCCGACTGGCCGACTTCAAGTCCGAGAAGGCCACACACCCGTGACCCTCAACACAGGACTCTGCTGCTGCTGTCGCTGCCGTTGCTGCTGCCTCCCCTACGACTACGACTACGACTACGACTCTGACCCGCACTACCAGTAAGGCTAGGATTAGGACCAGGGCTAGGGTAAGGACTCGGATCTACACCCAGCACACGCTCTGCAGAGAGTCAAGACCGAATTCGACAGCGCGGTGCCCACAACAGTCCTAGGACGATGACTAAGACCAGAACTGGGGCTGGGACGAGGACTGAAACTACTGCAACTGCGGCTCGACGAACTGGAACTGGGTTTGGGACTAGGGCTACGACGACTACGACCACGACGACTACTACTGCTACTACTCACACTGCTACAGCTGCTGCTTACTCCTGCAGCTGCTGCTAGCCACAGGTGAAAGTTATGATGTCATAGCCAAGCTCGCGGCGCCACCCCCAGTCGCAGGGTTTGCCTCGCAGAACCCAGACATGATCTAAGTCCCGGGGCTTCAAGACTGTGCAGATTTGGGAGTTTCCGAAAATTAGGGTACCTTATTTTGGGGTCCTTATAATAAGGATCCTATTATTTAGGGTACTATATTAGGGTCCCCTATTTTCGGAAACCCCCATTTGGAGGTTCGTGTCTAAACGAATCGACCCATCTTGGGCCATGTCCGGGAGCCCGGGCTCTGAGTTGGGGAACCGGCTCGCTTACCAGATGCCCATCATGATTATAGGGTTTAGGGTTTAGGGTTTAGGGTCAGCGTTTTTGCAGATATTATGCTGTAGGTCTTATATGTAATGTACCTTAGCGGGTGATGGCTGCGCCCGCTGTGCTGAGCAAGCTCGCCTTTTTAGGGGCTCCGCTGCTTCACTTCTCAGCGGCCATCTAGCGCTGCAGAATGAGCAGAGCATGACCATACTACAAGACTCAAACTGCGAAGGCATTTAGGGTTTAGGGTTTAACCGTGTTCAACCCAGCGAGGAAATAAGGGACTTACATGATATCTCGGATTTTCGGGGTCGAGTTTGTTAAACAGGCCTGAAAGTAGAAAACCCTGAGCAGTTGAACGCTACATACCTCCTAAACCCGAAACCCTTCGCCCCTGAGCCCTTACACCACAGAGAGCAACCACACTCTGGTGTCACCACAGTTTGGGGCCAGGGCCACGTGCGCTGAAGTGGCGAATCCTCCAACAAAAGCGAGAAGCGCTTCAGGGTTTACGCTCTCACAACTCGGACATGCCTGGCGAGGTTCAGTAGGTCTGGGACGGTGTGATACGATCGTCGAGAATGCGTGACCGCGATTCAGGGTTTACGCTCGCGCGCTTCAGGGTTTAGGGTTTAGGGTTGTCGGCGCTCACACTCGGACAAGCCAGGCGAGGATATTGGTTCGGGCTGTAAGGAGAAAAAAAGTATTAAGGGTTTAAGTCGGGTTTAGGACTTTTTCCCTTCACGGTTTGAGGTCTTAAGATTTTAGGGTTTACGGTTTGAGGTCTAGTGGTTTAGAGCTCAAGCTTCCTCCGGTAGCTTCCAGGTTCGACTCAGGTGTGGGGTTGCGGATGTAGAATAACAATACTAGTACTAACGAAGAATTCTAATGATAATACGAAAAAAGAATTGCAACAGTAGCAGCAATAATAATAGTAATCATATGATAGTAGAACTAACAGTAGTGGTAGTAGTAAATAATACTGGGTATCATATAATATCATATTTTATTATGCTGTGTAAGCTTCGGGCTCTGGTTTTCCAAACAGTGGCACTTGGAGGATCATGGGACTTAGTAAGTAAGGTTATAAGTGCCCTAATTGGGGTTAAAGTTGTAGTTACCTTATTTATAACCCTAGTTACTAAGTCCCATGATCCTCCAAGCATCAGTCCTTCGAGCAAGGATCCCAAGCACGGCAGACTAGAGCGGCTGCGACGCTGTGCCCGGAGGACGGGACTACATGTTATTATGTTGTCGCCATACCAATAAACACATGTATGTATGTATATATCTATATATGATTCTTATATACAAGTATATCTTAGCAGATATTACGAAATATTTTTGGCCGCATGGCCGTGTAAGGAACCCCAACCCAGCTGATATAGACGCCGTGCCAGTTCGAATAGAGTTTTGGGGTACTTCATTCTTGTAATAGGGAACCCTCACAATACAAGCACGACTTATTCCGTCTCGTCCATTAGAGCCTTGCAACACGTCGCTGCCTGTTTTGGACCCCACACCCATCAACCGCTTGGGTTCGATTTGGAGTCTTAGTGTGCCCTTTTCCCTCCTACGCGTAACTCCGAGAACAGTAGACTACAGCAGACTTCGCATTGAAAGCCATCCAGAAAGCAAAGACCAGTCAATTGACACAGGATGCATCCCGAGTAGCACCTCTTAAAACTTCAAGGGTTTAGCAAGGTTTCGGTGGTTTGGGTTCCGTAAACCTTAAACCCTTACACCCTAACTAATCCCTCAGCCCCAAACCTTAAATGTTTTGAACCGTTGAAAACTTGAGATACGGCCTTTGCCTGCGCCATAGCTCTGACCTTTGCCTGAGTGACAAAGGTCACAAGAGCGCAGGAAATTTACCATAAGGGCTTAGGGTTTGGGGGCTTAGGGCTGTTCTACGGTTTACCATAACGGATCCCGTGAGGGTTCCAAGGAGTTTAGGGCTTGAGGGTTTTAGGCTTTGGAATTCTAAATGTCTCTGGGCAGTCTGCAGCTCAGCGCATCGAGGGGCTGAACTTCCAAAGTTCATCACTGTGGAAATACAGGCCTGTTGCGCGAGGCTGCAGAGGAGCAAGAGCCAGCAGGACCATAAAAGCAGCAGCAGCAACAGTAGCCACAGCAAGCGCAAGCAACTGCGAAGGCAACGGCAAATGCTGTAGGGAGCAGAAGAAGCAGCTGCAGCAACATGGTAGGTCGCAATGGTAACCATTGCTGGCGCATTCCGGCTACCCTGTAATGTATGTGTGCACCGACTGGAAGTTGCCAGCGAAAAAAGTCGAGCACGCAGGATTTCCCGCAACCAATTGCTCTGACAGCCCTTTTCGATTCTGCCACGAGTCCTACAATCAAATGCTGCTGACCGCCCAAGCTAGCGACATCCCTGCTGCAGGCCGAAAAAGCCCTGAGTTCGGCACCGGCACCGGCATAGCTGATGGCACCAGCCGCGGGCCCGACGGCCCCATATCCCTTGCCGCCGTAGCCAGCGGCCTTCCCGCCGAAGGACTTGCCACCGCTGCAGCCCTTCGCACCGTAGCCTCCATAACTCATGCCACCACCGTAGCCACCTCCGCCATAACCTCCACCCATGCCCCCACCATATCCACCACCATAGCCGCCGCTCATGCCGTAGCTGTCCTTTCCCTGGCAGCACAACACTATTGAAGTAGCGTGAGGGAGCAGGCCGAAGCAATTCAACAAAACCTACATGGACCACACTGCCCAAGAAGCGTTTGAATCTTGCGAGGAACTTGTGTACTACCTGCCGAAGACGCAATGTCTGGTTGCTTGTGCCCCTTTTTGCATCTGGTTTGCAGCGACTCAACCTTGTGCCCCTACCTTGGCAAACTCTTCCAGTGTCACTAACTGATGAATAAGCATCCTCACTAACTGATGCATAAGCCTCGGTAAACACCCGATGCCACATCCGACAGTCATCTGTACCAGTTGAAGAACCTAGAGCAGCAACATCAGTGTTGTTGTCTTCCTCTTCTCAATGTCATCCCATTAACACCGGCTACAAAATGAATGATATCGCCACTCCCAGCTGCAAACCCTCCTTAACTACACCAGCCGCATCAACGTAGTCACCATCACCATCCTTGCCACCACGACGACTACTGCACCTGGCCGACCACCGCTTGCGCATAAAAGCCTCCGTCGCAAACTCCACCAACAATGGACACCGACAACCAAGACCTTAACTCCGACTCCGACGAAAGCTACCAGCCCAAGCTCGCTAGTTCGACGACTGTGCCGTCCTGCTACTACTGTCCTGTCGAGGGCGACTACACAACCAAAGCTACCTAAGCAGCCAGCTCCCAGTCTGGGCTCTACTTGGAGGGTCATGGGACTTAGTAAGTAAGGTTATAAGTACCCTAATTGGGGGTTAGAATTACGTATAGTTACCTTACTTATGACCCTCGTTACTAAGTCCCATGATCCTCCAAGTACATCTCTCTCCTAAATGGAACCCTGTTTTGGCAGACTCGAAGCAGGAGCAATGATTCCGAACCAAAACCTGAAGCCCTAAACCTAAACTAGGACCGCTTTGCTACCTAAACTAGGCCCTTTTTCAGCACGGACTCAGGTCTCCCCCTCTGGCGGACAAGAAAAGCTGTGGATGACGACAGACTGACTTAGGCTGAAGATTCCCTGAAGGTGAGGAACGGCAAATCACTGCAACCACCACACCATCTGCCCCAAGGATAGAATCTTGACGTGCATCAACGTACTCGCAGATTATAGGTCGACCCCAAACCCTGCAGCAGAAAGAGGGCAGCTGGCTGCCTTCCCTTTCCCGTAGCCCGCAAAGTTCGCATTGCCGTTCGGGCCTCGGCTTCAAAGCACTTGCAGCTGAGGCTAAACTTAAGGGTTCAGGATTTAGGGGTTTACACTCTCACAACTCGGACAATCCAGGGGAGGTCTCAAGCGTTCAGGGTGAAAGGAAATGAAGCCTTCATGATTTCGACTCTCACTCTCGCACGCAGCAGGCAAGGACCTTCATGATTTCGGGGTTTAGGGTTTCGACTCCCACCTAGCACAAGGCAAGTTTGGGGTTTGGGGTTTAAGGTCGAGGGCTGAGGGTGACTGCCAGCCAGAGCGAGGGGTGGGCTCGAACCTTTAATGTCTTCAGCTGGAGTTCCATACCTACTCAGCACTTGTGCTTTAGGCAACTCGAAAACCCTCCTGCTCTTTCGACGTCTACCGTTTTTGGAATACTTCGGCGTCGTCCTAGAGTCCTCGTTCTCGTGTCATTCGCGCCGCGTCTCCCCGCCTTTTCTTTCACGGGCTCTGCTTTCTCGTCACTGTGTCTCTGGCTTTTGTCCTTCTTTTACTCCCCTGGCTCGTCTTGATATATATATATATATACATACATATATACATACATATATATATATATATACCCGTTCTCTTGTATTTTCTTATCCAGAACTCTCCCCTCTTTGAGTTTCCTCTGAATATCCCTCCTTGCCAGCACCCTGGGGTCCGCACAAGCCTTCTGGTCGAAGGCCCATCGCTGGAACCAAGGCCTAGGAAGAGACGAATAACAACAAGGATACTAATTATCCCGGTCATAATAACAATAAATAGATACTAATATAATTAGAGTACTGACTATACTTCTACTAAAATAATGAGGATACTAATCTGTTTCGGGTTCAGGACTTAGGCTGAAAATTCACAGCGGGGAACCGGGCTTCTGGGCCCGAGGGCTTAGAGAACCCGCGTAGAACCTCAAGCAGCAAGCCTTTCTCAAACGCAGAATCCCCAAAAACTACGAGTTCTGCCCCTGAGTTTGGTGTCGAGACACCATACGTTGCCATGAAGACCATGGAAAATTCAGAACCGCTGACGTGACAAATCTGCCTGCTATGATGCCTCCCACTCACAACCCCACATCTGCAACTCTGAAACTTTCTGAGGCAACGGCTGTGGAACCGCCGCTTCGTTGACCTCTCGGGCTGGAGGCGGGGTTCTTGTGGAGCCTTTTCTCTTCAGGGCATTGCGCTGGATAGGGCTGTTTGGTGATGCACATCGGGTTTGATTATGGGCTTACTTGCAGCGCTAAACTGTCATGAGTTGTTTCAGGAGTTCTTGCTGCTTTCTGGCCCCTGGGGATCTTGTCGTGGGTTGATACTGATATAATCAAATACTGATACTAGTCATAAACAGAAATAAACCTGTAACGTAATGTAAGTGTGTGTATATATCTGTGGGTTGATAGGCTTCCAGTGTTTGGGGCCGAACCAAGGCTCCGTGGTGTACAGGGGTAAATGTCCTTTCGGACTTATGAATTCAAGGGTTCAGGGATTGCATTGAGCTCACGCATTTCGCGAGGGTGTAAGATCTTTCAACTCGTCTGTTGGATGAATCCTCGCTTGAGGCCTTCGACAATGCCGAATATGCCCCAAACATCTGCCACGGGGAAGAATCTATGAATGGAGAAGTTCATTCGAGCGTTTGAGGGTTTCTGCGTGGTTCGGATAATGTTACAAACAGGTTCGTACCGGTTGCTTGGGCCTACGTCCAAATCACACCAACTACACCCTCCCGCCGTCTCTGGTGCTCAACACGGCCAGATAGCACAAGGCACTCAGCGCCTTGTCGACCATTATAGGCACGACCGTATTGAGACCTGAGCAAAGCCAGGCCTACTATCTCGCCCTGCCTACAAAAGGGCCACCATATTGCGATATTCGTGCTATAAGAAGATACGGAAGCAATAGAACAAAGTAAACTACTACGTATGTGGCTGGGCTTCTGGGGCTCAGGGTGTCCTATGTCGGACTTGCTATGGGACCGGCTCACTCCTGACACCAGCAGTCTGCATCGCCGCACTCAGCAGTGCATCGCCGACAGTAGCAGCATAATCAGACTAGGGTGCTGGGGGTCGTATATACTGGAGTTATATGAAGGCGCCTAGCAGCAACAACACTAACTTAATAATTTAATCGTTCTTGCTACAAGTGTTTTAGGGAACCCCAGCTAGCAAAGGAATAATTTGAGTAAGAATCCAGGCCCCTAAATCAAACTGGAGCTGGGCAAGCCTGCCTGCTATGTTCCCAGCGCAGGAAACGACCTTTCAGGCAGTTTCGCGCAGGAGATTGAAGGTTTTGACTATATACCCAAACCCGATTCCCATTTTATTCAGACGCCTCTGTTGTTTGCCTTGGCTGATGGGCAGTTGAGTTCTTGGGATGTCCCCATCTATTCTTCTTTCGAATTCCAGCATCTTCATGGGATATCATCGTGCAAAAGGATGTGTGGAAACATGACCAATTAAGTGAACATCTGCAACCTAGCTGGAAGGTTGGGATTCAGGTCACAATAAGGGCTGCCACACGGATTGCCACAAGGTTGCTGTAAGTGATAACGTACAGCGACTTCAGGCCTCGTTCAGATGAAATTCCCTAACAATTAATCAACCAATCCTCGAACTGGAAGATAAGCCCTGAAGCAGGAATCGTCCATCTAGCATCACATTCCAAGACGTAATGGATCTTAGTATAGACCCTGACAGAGCTGGATCCTCTTTATATAACCACCCCACCAAGAAGCCGCCACTCATTTTCTGAAGCTCCGCTCCACAAACCCTGCCAAAACTCCGCATGTCGATTCGAAATCCTATATGAACCCCGAACCCCTCAACCCTAAACCGGAAACCCCAACCCCAAAACCCTAAACCCTCAAGCCCTCATCAAAAAGAAGGCATACGTCAACCCCTTGAAGTCCTGCTCCGCCATCTCCTGGGTGCCGATGACGATGTCCTGGCCCAGCTATGCCCAGCTTGCAGTGTCTTGGGGGCTGAGTGCCCGAGCCCAAAAAGAAGCTGCCTCATTGAGTTATACTATGGGATACTATGGGCTACTATGGGCTGTTATGCGCTACTATGGCCTACTACGGGCTACTACGGGCTATCATGGGCTACTATGGGCTACTATGGGCTACGATGGGCTATTATGGGCAGAAAAAGGTTAAAGGTTACCTACTCAGCCCCTAAGGGGTAGGGTTTGTTCGCCCAAGGTGCACCGCAATAGGCGGCACCGGGGAATTCCTAGCTTCGTTAAAGGTTCACAGCAAGCTCCGACGTGTTTGGATGGATTTTTGGTTACGGGTTGCGAGGTTCGGGGTTGAGGGTCCCAAGGTTTGGATTTTTGCGGGCTGCAAGGTTTGCAGTCTGAAATACGGCCCAGCCAAAAGAGCTTGGGATGAAATATCGTCATGCTGCTTCTGCTTTCAGGACTGATGACAAGACTTTATACAAAAGGAGAAGATTGGATAAAAAGAGATTGGGTAAAGAACCGATCCTGATTGGACGAACATCTTGTCAGAAGGCCACCATAGGTCACCCCGTGGCCCCAACATGCAGGTTTTGGGGGCTTAGGGCCTAAACTGTAAAGCCCAATCCCTACAAGCCAAAGAGTCCTCCACATGGATTTTCATGCCGGAGTTCATCTTGGCAAAGGGAAATTGGTGGGATGGAGGTAGGGTTTGGAGTCTCGTAACTCCTCTCCAGGCTGCTTTAGGGTCTGGGTCGTTTAGGCTTTAGGAAGTATCTCAAGATTTGGAACAAACTTCGGCGGCTTCCGCGCCTGCGGGAGACATATCAGAAAATGGCGCATGGTCTGTTCACATACATAGTACCACCAAATACTTCAGCTATCGAATCTTACGAGGACAACGCACGAACATGTACCGTCGCAGAGTGGCACAGGATGTTTTCCTGCCCCGTCACACTGCACAATCTGGGCTCCGCTGCACTATGTCTGTCGGGGCGAGGGCCTGTTGCATATAACGTTGCGAAATACAATATGGCATGGCCATCAAGCGTCGTTCTTCTGCTCTTATACTTTCCTACCTGCCTCAAACCCGTCTAGCCTCTTGTGCCAGCGGATGCCCTTGGGCTTCAGGGTCTACCCCTCGCGGAGGCTTAGGGTTGAAGCTTCATGGAATGGGTCCCACAGGTCTTTAGAATAGCGGGCGGAGTATGGATTGAAGGTTTAGGGCCTGGCACCGTCACTTCCGGATCCCTAACCTCAGGACCGCACCCTAAGATCCTTGATGTTTTCGCCGGACTTGCCGATGAGTGCGCGGATGGCCCTTAGACGGCACGAGAATTCACGTCTTCGGGCTTTGGCACCTTCCAACACATGGAGCAAGGCCTTCGAGCTTCTGTTTGCTTGAAGCTTCGAGGGTGTTCCGCTGTCGCGGAAGGCTTAGGGCTTGGGCGTCCCGATCTTTTGAACCTTGAGTAAGGGGTGTCGGCTCTGGAGTTTCAGGCTGCAAAAAGCCAACGCCACCGACTGCGCTACGGCTTTCATCAAAACCCTGTAAACTGCCTGGTAAAACCTCAACCCCCCCCCCCCCCCCCAACCCGCACCCCTGCCGCACCAATTTCTGCGTCTTCGCATTTCCTGGCGCTTCGCGGCCCTCCTCTCACTGCGAGGGCGCGAGGAAGCCCTTCCCTCGGCTGACCTGCAAAGCCCAGAGTTCTAAAATCCTACGGTTTCGCGCGGCTGCATCGGTGTTTTACAGCAGGTTCGCGGGGTTCGAAGGTTCTGGGGAGTAGTTGAAGTTTGGTTCCTCCTGGCTGGCTGCAAGGAACCGGGCGTCGACGTAGGGCTTGAGATTCAGCTTTCAGGGCTTCCGGGTTGGAGGTTTCAGGCTGCGTACGGCATGTCTACGTGCTGCTCCGGCTCATCGGAGACAAGAGAAGAGAAGAAGAAGCCCTGCAGGGTGCGGCCACGCCGCCCCTTGGTTCTGTCGGGCGGTGTTAAGGAGTCGTCGGATCAAGCAACCCCGCCGTCGGCACTTCTTTCGGCACCAGGCGGCAGATGCTGCAGAGTACGGCACATGCGCTCTGGTGCTGCAAAGATACCGCCAAGTGCATGGCTGGTTTGTAAAGCTTCGCTTGCTCGGCATGAGCAGTCCGACATCTGGAGAATGCTGGCAAAGGTTGATGTCCGTCCCATGTGTCCCTCAACCCTCGACAAGACGCGAAGGAAATGTTACTTTATGTATCTACTTGACCGGATACTGGAGATGTACAACATCTGGACTCAATAGACTTCGAACACGGCATACCCGATCAACCACATCCATTCTTAGTTCGAGCCTACAGTTCACAGCCTTTGTTCCACCCTCGCGATGGTCCTTGCGCAAGTGCACCGCTGAAACGGCACTGCGCCAGAATCTCCAAAGCCTGTTAAAAATACAATATGTCACACCCAATATTGGGGCCTTAACAATTTGAATAGGGTTTTGGGGGGTTCTTTTTTACAGATATAGTATAACATACCCCAAAACCCTATTCTAATTACCAATAAGGCCCTTTCAGAAACCCTGACAGACGGAATCCTCACGGAAGAACACCCAAAGAACCCAATACCCCTTAATTAAGGAATATACCTTAAATCATAATATTAAGGCCCCTATGATTTAAAAAGGAAAAACCCTTAAATCATAATAATGAGGCCCCTATAATTTAAGGTATAGTCCTGTTAATTAGGGGTACTTAGGACCTAAGCTCAAGCGGGCCTCGCCGGCGCCATTTAGTGAGACCAAGAGCGCCTCTCGCCGTCGAAAGGAGAACGTACTTGGAGGATCATGGGGCTTAGTAACTAGGGTTGTAAATAAGGTAACTATAATTAGGGGTTTAGGGTTTAGGGTTACTAGGGTTATAAATAAGGTAACTATAATTATAACCCCAATTAGGGTACTTATAACCTTACGAAGTCCCATGATCCTCCAAGTATGACTATTACTATTACGATTGCTAATGCTATTACTCTTACTATCACTATTACAGTACTGTTACTATTTGGTTTACTTGGAGGATCATGGGACTCGGTAAGTACGGTTATAAGTACCCTAATTAGGGTTATAATTATGGTTACCTTATTTATAACCCTAGTTACGAGGATCATGGGACTTAGTAACTAGGGTTGTAAATAAGGTAACTATAATTCGGTTTTTTACACCTTTTTCCACCTTGCGGTTTAGGGTTTATGGTTACTAGGGTTATAAATAAGGTAACTATCATTCTAACCCCAATTAGGGTACTTATAACCTTACTTACTAAGTCCCATGATCCTCCAAGTAGGGTTTACGCTCTCACAACTCGGACAGGCAAAAGAACATAGGGTTTAGGGTTAGGGGTTGAGGGCGGAGGGTTTTGTCTCTTTCGCATCGCAGAGATCAAAGCTGATGGGCGAGGTAGATGAGGGGTTTCGGGGTTTAGGGGTAGTAGACGGCTGCTTCCCTAATATGTCGAGGACCACCGGAAGAGGCCTGCGACTTCTCGTCAGGGATGCCTATGTGCCTCGCGACCGCGAAGCCAACCCGCTCACTGTGTCGGTCATAGGCGGAATAGAACCTTGGCCGGTGTTGAACATGTTGTTGGGACGACTCTGATTGTCTCATCCCTTTCGCGCGCTCATTTTCTGTCCTTCTTTCCGGGAGATTTGAGGGATACGACACAACGCAGCGGTTTATGCACAACCTTCTTCGTCTCATCATGCGACTCTCCGTCAGAAATTTTCTGCCAACTACATGCCACAGTGCCTGAAGACGGCTGCTTCTGAACTACTAACTCCACTAGCAGGTTCCTGGCAGATTTACGCCATGTAGGTCAACGACTTACACTGACATTGTAATTCAATGCATGCTACCGGACATCTTGCCACATCTGGATATCTTTGCATCAGCGGCTAGTACACTATATATAGTACACGGCAGCATGGGATCAACACGCACAGTACTTGTTGCGAGCCTGCCTGCTGACGACTTGCCGACTGTAGGCCTTTAGCTACCTCACACAGTCCCTTGCCCTTCTTGTCTACTATTATTTATTATTTTATTATCATTATTAGTATATTATTATTATTATTATTATTATTATAGTCTACAAGAGCACACACAAGGTGGTGGTTCCCACGGCAGTAGATGCGAGGAGTACACCATAGCTCCTACCAGAATGCTGGAAGTCTCCTGGGGCTATCCCTACCGTTGGTGCAGACAGCAACGCGCTTGCTTTCTGCCTCTTGGTTCGGAAGCACCTTCGAGACCAGGAGTCTGTGAGACTGAAAATGCTTGAAAACTGAACCCTAAAGCCCAGGGCTCTCACCTGAAGTAAGGGCCTGCAATCTGGTTGTTGATGTCCATCTTGTATGCGTCGGACGCGAAGTACTTCTGTAGTGTGGGCAGGGCCCGGAATGCCTCGTAGAAAGCCTTGCACTTTGGGAATTTCTCGAGGATTGGAGCGGCACCCATCTTCTCAGCAAGCATCTTATG